GGGGACCGGGATGGGGACGGGGACGGGGTGGGGGAGGCGCCGCCCGGGCCCCTAGGCGGGGAGGATACCCAGCCCGGAGCGCGCCCCTCCGGCCGCCCTGCAGCGCGGGGGAGGGGAGCGCCTGGCACCCACCTGCCCAAGGTGCGCCCGGGGACCGTGCGGGGCTGGGGGTACTTCCCCTCTCCAGAAGGGAGCCAGGTGTTTCGTAAAAGAAAGGCCAGCAGTGTCTCCTGGGTGTCCCCTGTCCCCCAGGCGCGCAAGGACTTGGAGCAACCTCACGCCCTTGTCGCTTGTCCCGGAGCCCACTTGGGAAGTTGGCTCTACAGCTTTTTCTAGCCCGCTTGCCTGTCCCCACACATCCTGGGTCTGGGCATGGTGAGGGTGCCCAGGGGCAATCGGGGTGAGGGGCTTGTGCGTTCTGGAACCCCCCTAGGGAAGCCAGTTTGGAAACCAGCCTGTGGAGGTCTTGAGGCCTTTCACGTGCAGAAAACAAGAGCTGTTTCTAGATAATCAGTCTCTGTTTACACCAGCCTAAGACTCTTCCCTGGTAGAGCCAGGAGTGGGAGGCACGTTGAAGTCTGGCGTTGTCTCTAAGTGGGGTTGCTCGTTTCTCACCCAGAAAGCAGAACCCCAGAAAACTTGTAGAAAGTTCTTGGTTTACGTGTGTTTTCCTCCGCTTGTATTTGTTGATGTGTGAGCTAATTGAGAAACACCTTGGCGATCATTCCGTGTAAATTAAACACTCTAAACTCTTGCCATTTTGGTAAGAATGGAAGTTCCAAATTTCCAAAAGCGAACTTTGATCCTGAGAGGTAACGTGTAGGCATAAGGATTCAGTCCTATTTCTCAATAATAGCGTTTGCACTCCAACAAACGCTCAGATCCCAAAACAGGAGAATGTTGAAGCCCACAGCCATTGGACTGTGACTGATGATGTCTGGTGAGTCCAAGCACAGCTTGACTCATCTGTCTCCGTGGAAGCAAGCTACAGACCCACGTTCTAGGAAGAACATGCATTTAAGAGAGTTTTTTCCTTTGGTTGTGTATTTTTCACCATACAGGAATATGGTATCACATGCTTTTGCCAAGTATTCCTTAGCTTTGCAGCAGAATATGTGTGGAGAGCTGACAGAGATGTCATCAGAAATGATTTGTGCGATGAAGTCATTGTTGGAAGAGGCAGAAAGGTGGTTTTAATGGTAGCTGGCTCCCTCTGAGATAAGAACCCACAGCCTTGGCCTTCTTTGCTCCTGCCATAATCAGCTGACCCAGCAAACCGGAGTGCTCATGTTCAAGGCATCATGGGACCTTTGATGAGTGCAGCAAAACCGGTCATGGCCAAGTCAGTTCCTGAGATGTCCTCCTGGCTAACTCTTATGGACAAAGACCATTTCATTTCTGGAAAAGGCCTTCCTCCTCTCTCTCATTTTTAAGAAAACTTCTATTGAAGGTTCCATTTCAACTGGAAACCTGGAAGGCTTTAGTCACCAAACAGCATAAGGAGTTAAAGTATTTCTTGGAGCCGGGCACAGTGCCTTTTATCTGTAATCCCAGCACTTTGGGAGACTGAGGTGGGTGGATCATTCGAGACCAGGAGTTCAAGCCCAGGCTGGTCAACATAGCGAGACTTCATCTCTAAAATTTAAAAAATAAATAATAAAAAAATAAAAATTAAGAATTTCTTTTTGCCCATCTTTGGGATCCAAAGAAGAGGATGACAATAAGCTTAGTTCTTGGAGTCCTGGTCCTCACTTTGGAAGGGAAATGGTGACATTTCATAGGTCTGCCAATATTTGTCAGATGCTTGCTCTATACTCTTAGAAGCAGGGAAAAAAGCTGCAAAGTATCTATAATTAAGCCTAGTCAGAGTTGACAGGCTTGCCCCAACTTTGAAAAATTTATATTCTTATCATTTAATCAGAGTGAGTCAAGTCCTATAAGCAAAATTAAGTGTCTTAACACTTCTTGGATATGAGAGTATGGCCTAATCACCCAATTTCTTCAAGATTATGTTTCCTCATGAGTAAAATGGAAATATTGCTGCTGCCTACCTAGAGTAAATTCAAGTCAGATAACAGATACATATGTAATAAAAGTTACTATGTGTCAAATGCTATTATTATCTCAGGTTCCTGGGAAAAGCAAAAGTATACAATACCTGTACCATATATTTACCTTATAAGTTCTATAAGTATTGACTAAACCTAAGCTTTGTTCATTTCCTAAGGTAACTTACAAGTGGAAGGACACCGGGTTTTTGTGGGGTTTTTTGTGGTTTTTTTGGAGACATGGTTTTACTCTGTTGCCCACACTGGAGTGTAGTGGGGTGATCATGGCTCATTGCAACATCAAACTCCTAGGCTCAAGCAACCCTCCTGCTTCAGTCTCCTGAGTAGCTGGGTCTACAGGTGTGCACCACCACATCCAGTTAGCTTATTTTTTTGTAGAGATGAGGTCTCGCTTTGTTGCCCAGATTGGTCTTGAACACTTGACCTCAAGGGATCCTCCTGCCTCAGCCTCTCAAGGTGCTGGAATTATAGGCTTGAGTCACCATGCCTGGCTCATAATTTTTTTAATTAAATTATGACCTGGACATATAACGTCATAGACACACACTCACACACGTCATTGCATAAATGAGGGTATGGTCTTCATTTAAAGATTCATAAAGACCCACAGAAAAAGAAAATATGCAAAATATTGAAGTGGGAGGAGCTATTTTTATTTACCTTTGATTACTCCAACCTCCCCCATTTTCCCAGTATCTTTTATTTAAGGAATAAAGGAGAAACCTAAACTTCCTGAACAAAAGGGACCACTTGCTCTCTGCAAGGGACTAAAAAAACACCCACCAGATGATCTTTGAAAATGTCTAGCCACCCTCCCAACTCTATGACTTCATCTAAACTCTGGAAACTTCTTTAGAACATTTTAGGCACAAATAAGACACAAGAATGAGGGAGAGGATGGTCTAGTGATTATAAGCTCTAGACTGACCTGCCTTAGAATCTCAGCGTTGCCACCTACCACCTGAAGCCTTGACAAGCACCTCCACAAAGCCTCTGTTTCCTTATCTTCAACAAAATAGAACACTGTGTCGACTTCACAGGGTCACACATATAAAGCATTCCACAGAATGACTGGTGTACAATAAATGTAGCTAAAAGAGAGCATGGGGACAGTTGTCCCAAACACTATGACTTTCCCACGAAGCTTCATTACAGTCATTGCATTAATTGGCAAATACTACACTGTGACAACTTGTCAGAAATTGAAAAGCAAAAAAACTCCCTGTTAGAAGATGTCAGTTTTACTCATTAATCATCAAAGTGCTCAAAATAAATATTTTGTTTTTGTCAACGATTTTCTTTTCAATTGAAACTAAGATTGTTAAATGCATGGATGATGTTCATCAGAGTTCTGCTTTTAAATAAGCATTTTGTGACACTTTAGATGACTTCCCGCACTGGTCTTTATTGATGTTTGTTATTTACCATGTACAAGATAGCATGCATTTTGGAAGAGTGAATGCTTAATTACAGAATTTGACATTGTATTTTATATCTCAATGGTATGCAGCTTTTACTCAGCATACAATGTCTTTTCGCTTTCCTTAATAAATAAAATTTTGTGTCTCAACTCTTGAAGGTTTTTATAGTTTAGGTTCTCATCATTAGGGTGAAGGAAAAATGGACATATCTTCATATTATGATTCAGATAGAAGTGTAGCTATAGATAGAGATGAGATGAGATAGAGACAGAGATTCAGGATAGGAAGGAGGAGAGGGAGGGAGGGAGGGAAGGAGGGAGAGAGAGAGACATTGAGAGGAGGTATAGGAGCGAGATCTTGCCCTTAGTAGAACTTTGGTCTTTTTGGTCTTTTCTGGACTTGCTGTGCCATGGAATAACTTAACATACATATATCTTATCGAATTACCAAATATATCCTGCATTTTAATTGAAGCAGTAAATAATCATTGACTATGATCTTTTTGGCAGCTGAATTTTGTAATGAAAATTATTTTCCTTTTTTTTTTTTCCAGGTGGAAAAAAAGTGAGGGTGTAAACGCAACACAGTAAGAGACATTTCCTCAAATCTGCATCAAGATGGAAGCCTTCTGCCTCAGGGCATCCTTTTGGCTGGCACTGGTTGGATGTGTAATCAGTGATAATCCTGAGAGTTACAGCACAAATCTAAGCCATCATATGGACAATTTCACCACCTTTCGGGGAACAGAGCTCAGCTTCCTGGTTACTACTCATCGACCCACTAATTTGATCCTACCCAGCAATGGCTCTATGCACAACTATTGCCCACAGCAGACTAAAATTACTGCAGCATTCAAGTACATTAACACTGTGATATCTTGTACTATTTTCATCGTGGGAATGGTGGGGAATGCAACTCTGCTCAGGATCATTTACCAGAACAAGTGCATGAGGAATGGCCCCAACGCGCTGATAGCCAGCCTTGCCCTCGGAGACCTTATCTATGTGGTCATTGATCTCCCTATCAATGTGTTTAAGGTAGGAAGTAACCACAAATGTGTTTGCAGGTTTGAACACATGCTTGATTCCAGGTAAAAAGTCGCTGCAGACTTTTCTGACCTTGGAATTTTATCTGTGTTTTTACTGAGAACTATTTCTGCTGTCTTAAAACGAGAGTTTTAAGATTTTAAAATTTTAATCCTTGGCTATATGTTACATTTATTTTCTGACTTAATTGTTAACAAAATAGTATATCAGGGATGACAGTTCAAAATTGTGGTGTCTCATGACTTGGACTCTCAAGCTAGTCCCGAGCTGGCTGGTCTGATGGGCACTCTTGGCAAGATCTCTGGATGTTTCTGAGATTCATTTTTCCCAGCATGAGACCCAAAAGTACTTGAAATAAATATATTTTCAATTTCAGTTTTACCTTCTGAATGCAATGCTGTTCAGACCAGATAACCACAGTCCAGCTTAAAATGAAAAGTACCTATTTTATTTTGGCTGTCTGATGATTAAAGTCAAAGGGCATCCTGGCTTTTCTAAGTTATCTGGGTGACTTAGAGATAATGGGGTCCTTGTGATACCAGGCCAGTGTTGACCTCGTTGAGCAGTATTACTAACTAAAACCACTTAAAATAGACCTCGGTTTACTGTTGTCTCCTTCATTTCTTCAGTCTACATTTATTGAGTGCCCACTATGTGCATGCTCCAACCAAGGTCATGGAGAGCCAAATAACATAATGTTGATGCCTCAGCAGGAGAGGAAGATAACTAATTGATCATTCCTGTGATCACCATGCTTAGAGACAATTTAGTACCAAAACAGACGAAAGCCAGAAGAAATTAGATATTCCATATTTGGGTTAGTGATTGTGAGGAGAAAATTGCTGCAAGAATTTAAATGTACTAAAATTCAAAAGAAATTATATGATCTATGCCAGATTTCATGAAATATATTTATTCTAAACCCAAGGATATCTCTTTCCTCTGCTTTTTTTTTTCTGTGAATTATCCATAGAAACAAACTATTCTAGGAGATATTATTCTAAAGTATTACTTTTAATGGCAAGTTTTGCCAATTGAAGACATGACACATTGAAGTAGCACAAAGTCTCTCAGTCTCCAATAAATACACTCAAACTGGTGAAATTATATTAGCCTACAAGAAAAATCAGTGGTCTGATAATAAAGAGAAGAACAATGATTTAAATTTTGAGCACTACAAATAAAAACCTTTCAAAATTACAGCAATACACTGTTTGGAAAATCAAAGAAATTAAGCAACATATAATACAAAAAATTACCATCTCTTTCCACAGAATATCATAAACACATGTGTTTTCTATTAGAACTTAAAACACGAGTTTAGAAATGAACTATGGTGCAAAATTGAAAATGTGTAGTTAATTTAGGATGTTTAGCATATGATACAGAACCTTAATTTTTTTTCTTTTAAAACGTTCTTTTCTACTTGCAAAACCATATTTGTACATAGCACTTGAAATTTCTCTTTAATGATGGATTTGAAAATGTTGACACGACTCGCTTAAACTTTGACTCTTCAGCCATTTCAGTATTAAACTTTGATTATTCTTGCTTATGAACTAGTTAACCAACCTACTGTGACTCAAGAGAACAGTTAACCATCTCTGAATTAATAACGCCCTGCTGCTGTTTACTCTGAAACACACCACCTAGAGTTGACCATTTGCAAAGCAGCTTCAATATTCTCACCGCTGGGAAAGAGACCTGCTTATCTCTTTTAGGAGATACTGCCAATCACCAGACTAAACTTTATTTTAATTCCATAACGACATTTTAAGTCAGATCATGTCTCTAAATTTGGCAAAGATACAAATAAAACTTTGTTTTGTATTCACCTAGCAATGGATAAAAATTAATGCGTCCTTATTTGACCGTACGATTCTTTCCCCCTGGGAATCCAACACTTTTATGCCTTACTGTGGTTCTAAATAATGTGGGCAGTTTGACTGTAGTATTTTTACATCAGAGGAGTACATTTGTGTAATTCCTGTTTTTGTAAAGTTCATGTAATGAGTCACTTAACCAACATGAATTTTAGAAAGTAAACCTTGTGGGCTAAAAAAAAAGCACTCTTTAGTCATTTCAATTTCCTTCTCAAGGAAAAGAGGAAAAACCATTGAGCACTAAAAAGCCTCACAATATTTAGGGGCTATCACCATGTCTTTCTGTCGACCCCTCTGTAGTCAGGAGACCATAGCACATTGCTATTCTTCAGACTTCTTTCCAAGATGCTCAAAAGATCCTTCCAGGCAACGTGAGGTCCAGGGCCCCATGCCGTTCCCCTACAACTTCATCCTGCATAAGATTCTGGAGTTTTGGAGTCTCTCATAGTCCTGACCTCTGATTCTTCTATCCATGTCAAGTCCACTGTCTCTTTGTTGCAGGGCAAAATAGCAGCTGTCCATTCCCTCTACCATTATAGAGTAATAGTCTACTGTTACAGTTAGGTACCTATGAAAATAATTCGTAGACTTACAGAACATTCTAGCAAAGGGATGCATGAACCTTCCTCATCTTCCCCAATATTAGAAGAATTAGGCTGAAAGAAGAATGAATGGTTGCTTTGCTCCCCAAAAGAAAGATGAATTTTCAAATTGCACATATTGTTGTATTTAACAATTATACCACTTGCTTTCATTTTTTTATTTTTATTTATATAAATGTATGGGGTACAAGTATAATATTGTCATATGTATAGATTTCACGGTGGTAAGGGCTTTTAGGGCATCCATCACCCTATCCATACATTGTGCCCATGAAGTAATTTCTCACCCCCTCAATTGCTTTCATGCTCAGTTCTAAGGTGTCTCCAGACAAAGAACATTGCACTGAGTCATATCAGAGTCAGCATAAGTGGAAGCAGACAATGCAAAGATTGTATCTCGGGCAAGCTAGAATTACTGATTAGACTTAAGTAATGTTACAAGAAAAAGGAAAGAGCATGATAAAGTGTTCTATTAGCATTTTATTCCCTTTCTCTCACTTTGAAAGCTATTGTGCTGAAACTGTTTCAGAGATCAATGTGTTATAAAATACAACTGAAAAGCACTGCAGCAGATATCAGACAGCTGCTGGTGCTTTGAGATCTCACACCTACCATACCTTGGGGTTCCTCTAACCATTTCAAGTTCACCGATCTGTCATTAGCCAATACAGCTGGTCCTGGGTGGTTCTGGATGGTGTGTAGGCATAGAAGGGGAGGGAGGTCACTCTACACCTGAAATGTCTTAATTTCTAGAAGCTTCTTAAACGGTTCCCGTATCTTCAGAGCTTCTTCCCCACAATTTGTCCTGGACTTTGCTTATACTTATTGAGTGTCACTGCTTCCTCAAAAACACCCAGAAGCTCCCAACTGTCCCCACTAGCCCCCATGTTTAGCCGTCAAGGTCCTCCACGCTCTGGCCACGCTAAGCTCTTGTCAAAATGCCATTGCTACCCCTAAGGAACATTCTGTGCCCTAAATAACATTCTCAGAGAGGCGGAATATAGTCACTGAATCACTGCTGCTGAGACACTTACAAATCCTAGATTGAAAATGAGTTAGGCCTGGAGTCTGGAGTTTTATCTATATATGTGGCATCGAGAAGAAATAAACCAAAAAATGTACAGAAACTCCTCTGACTCTCTCTCTCTCTCTCTCTCTCTCTCTC